TGTCAAAAGGATCCTTCTCAGATTGCATTGCAAGTATGGACTTCGCCTGCAGATTCCTTTGGAATCTGTACTGGGTCTGAGCTGAGCACTGAGCCGCGGGAGGCAGGAAAGTGGCAGTTTTATGGTTGTGAGCCAGCCCTCCAGAATCACAGAAAGGTGGAGCTGGAAGGGTTCCTAAAAGACCATCTAGTCCAGCTCCCTGCTCAGTGCAGGACTCCAAGTTAGCCTTCTCAGGCAGCTGTCCAGTTGCATCCTGGAGGTGCCTAGCAGCTCTCCTATCTCCCCTTAGTCTTCTTCCTGAGGCTAAACATGCCCAGTTCTCACAGGGTTTTGCTTCCAGTCCCTGGATCCTCCTTGCTGTTCTCTGAACCTTTCCCAGTTTGTCTGCATCTTTCTTGCAGGGTGGTGCCCAGAACTGGGCACAGAACTTGGAAGGAGGTACGCTACCTCATATACCCAACAAAGCGGAACCAGGACCTCCTGTGATTTGTAAGCAGTGCTTCTGTTAATGCAGCCCAGCTGCTCCAGTTCCCCAAGGATTCTCTCTTCGGCCCCCCTGATGGGCTGAGGTGGATATGTGACTCCTTGGCATGTGGTTGTGGTGTCCAGGTTCTCTGGGACTGCGGGCAGGAGGCAGTTGGGGGACCCCTGACTCAAGTCGCCTGCCCAATCCAATGGGCTCAGGCATGGTCTTCCTGCAGGGGCTGCAGGTCTAATGGATCTGCTCTGCAGCCCTCAGTGCCACTAATCCAGAGGTGAGCAGAAGAGTTCCAGATGTTTTGGGGGAGGACAGAAGTCCCTGCCAGCATGGCTAATGGTCTGGAATTCTGGGAGCTACACCTGTGGATCTACATTCTGCTCACCCTTGTCCTGGGCTCAATATTACAGGAGGGATATAGCCAGGTTGGAGTCAGTGCACCGCAGGGCCACAAGGTTGGTGGCCGGTTTGCAGGGGATGCCATCTGAGGCGAGACTGAGGGAACTGGGTCTCTTCAGCCTGGAGAAGAGGAGACTCAGAGGGGATCTGTTGGCAACATACAGGTATGTGAGGGGGTGTCACACGGAGGTGGGTAGAGGCCTGTTTTCCCCTGCAGAGGAAGGCAGGACACACTCCAACAGAGCAAGGCTCAGGGAACCAAGGTTCAATTTAGATGCCAGGAAGCACTTCCTGATATTTAGGACCCCTGGGGTATGGAATGGGCTTCCACGGGAGGTGGTTGAGGCCCCATCGGTGTGGGTGTTCAAAGATAGGCTGGACATGCACATGGTAGGCATGTCGTGAGCGGAGCCGGCTGGACCCGGGGGTCAGACTAGATGGCCCGGGAGACCCCTTCTGACTCGCTCTGTTTCTATGTTTCTATGAATGCAAAGAGGGCCTTCTCTGCGGTGGCGCCCCAACTATGGAATGCGCTCCCCAAAGAGGTCCGCCTGGCGCCATCATTTTATGTTTTTCGGCGCCAGGTCAAGACCTTTTCATTTAATCAATATTTTAATATGCTTTAATGGCAACTTGTTTTTATTGTTTGTATTTTATTAATTGCAGCCAGAGTGGAATTGTCAATTTACCTATTTTATTTTGACCCACATTGTAAGCCATCCAGAGATGCAAATATTGGATGGCATACAAATTTTATAAATAGAATAGAAAAAAAGCTCTCCCATCAGCCAAATCCCTCCAGCTCATTCTAGGTTTTAAAAAATCGTTGTTTTCATGAAAAAGTAGAATTTAAAAAAAGAAAAATGATATCAAAGGATATTATACAAATATTGCATATACGCATCAAGGTCAGAAAATTTCAGTAATTTGTAAGCCGTCCTGAGGCTTGTTGCAAAGGACGAGATAAAAAGTTTTAAATACAATAATAAATAATAAAATAATACACTTGGTTAAATTAATTAGCACTTAATTGAAGCACATCCCGCAATCATTCTAATTAATAATTAATACTCACTTATTTTCCATTCCTTTAAAAAATAATTGTGAATGACAACAAAGCATTTGTTTCAGCTCATTTTGGCTTAAAGCTCTTGCTGCAAGCCTTAGCAGGGGCGGTTCAGCCGTTTAGAAAGAGGAAACAACGGCACAAAAGGTGGGAAACCAAGATTCAGTCCATGCTCAGAGGAAAAGGGGTGGAACCTGGGAGCCCCCAAGTGCCAGATCAAGATGCTGGGGTGGTCAAATTGCCCTTCCAGGCCTGAATTTCCTCAGTGCTGTGCCAAGTTTGCCAGTGGCACCGTTTCCATCCATGCAGTAATGAAATCTCGATGCAGGACACGGATGGATCAATGCTTGCAAATGAGGCGCCTGAAATGTTGTCATACAGCAGAGGTTCTCTCTCGTGGTGCAGTCCCACTCTGGCACCCAGGGGCCCCTCCAATGTCTCCTCCAGGCCCTTCAACGGCACCCCTGAAAGGGCCTCCTCCAAGGTATTGTGGGCATGCAATGTTCACCCAATTGTTAAAAGAGACACACATGGATTTGGATGAAATCCATACAAATCCATAGCAATTATACAGAGGCTTCAATAAAAGCAGTCCAAATATCCTGCATGACCGTCTGGAAAATGTTGCAAGGCTCCCAATCTATGGCATTATAGGAGGTGAGGATTACCCTTCCAGTGTTGGAGTATCAGTTGTTTAGTTGCCTAAAGAGTACAGGGAATCCCTTTCCCATTCCATTTGTTAATTCCCATGCAGCAGGTAAGTAATTTAAAAGAACATGTACATACATGGATATTAAAGACTGTGCCTGCACGAGATTTATCTGGATAATGCCCTCCCCACAAAAAAGGAGGTTATTAAAGAATACTCAACAGACACATTTTTTGCTGAATAATGTACAATCTAAGACCCAAAGACATGACAGGTAGATGTCAATGATTCAGCATTTTGTGACGAGACCCACAGTAGCTTCTCAAATCCCAAATCTGCCCACGGGTCCCAGAAAGTTGGGCCCCCAGTTGTAGGTGTGAGAGACCCAGCTATTTCTTGCTGATCCTTTGCTTAGTTGCATATATGCACTTTGGAATATGCACTGCAGAAAATTAAAAAAAGAAAACACACCAAAGAAACCCCAATCAGAACTACACACTTAACACACACACAAAGGAAAGGAAAGGAAAGGAAAGGAAAGGAAAGGAAAGGAAAGGAAAGGAAAGGAGAGAGCTTAAGAGTTAATTTTAACCCAGGAGTTCTGTTCCTGAATTCTCTCTTTTCGTATGATTGGCTCAAATCTTTTTTACCTTTTCTTTTCCTGGGGAAATGGATATCTGAGAGACTGACTTCACGCACTGCTAAATTGCAAGGTTTGGAAATATCGCAAAGGAAGGGAAGTAATGTCCCACTCATTCTTTCCTTCCAAGCTTTCTGTGGCCCCACCAAGAGACTCCCTTTGTTTCAGTCCGGTGATGTTAAGGGAAACAACATCTCTGGAGTCAATAAGCTTTGGAAAGCAGGGAGCCCAGCACCTTTGATGCTGTTGCCTGTTCAGGCGAGGAACTGCCTCCATTGTCTTTTGACTGACACAGCCTTTTCTATAAATTGGAGCCACTAAGCGCTCGGAGCAGCTGGTGAGACGATCTGCCAGAAGCAGCTGGGCCAGGTCTCCGGCTTCTGCAAACCCCCGACTTCAGTTGTGAACCACGGCAGGGAAGAGAGCCGGATCCTTCCAGCTAGGTAAGAGCTTTTGCTGCTTTTTGTGGGACATCGGTCCCTGCTTTGTCCGGTTCTGAGAGGAGCACCAGAAGGCAACAGGTGACGGCAATGGATGGCCACAGCATTTGTGCAGAAGCAAATTTTCGGAGCGAGATCTACCTGAGCAGCAGGTTAATTTACACACAAAAACTTACGTTTTTCTCTCTCTGTGTCTTATGTTACACTGTGCACATAAAGTAAGGATGCACTGAATCTTTGGTCATTTCAAATTACAATTTTAATTTCATTAGGATAGAGCATGTCCGTTTTGGACCGTGGCTCTTGCCACCTTGAAACTCTGCATTCCCTGGCTGCAGCTACTTCTGCCTCCCTTGAATTAAGCACACGATGATTCCGTCTACGGAGGCAGATGGCATGACTGGTCAATAAAATCACAGCAATTTGACTGATTTATCCTTTGAGTTCCGATAGATCCGCCTCTCCCACCATTCCAATAATTCCCAGGGCAGAAGCATGTGGAGTCACTAAGGGTTAATGAGGTTAAGGAAGACCATTTATTTGCACTTGGGTGCCATCCAGCGGGGTCACTGCAACCTCTGAACTTGGAGGATCATGGACATCCAATGCAGGGTGGGGCAGGAGGATCGCAGAGGCTCACATGCCCCCAGAAGATGTGGCGTCCTGGCAGACCCAGTCTCCAACCCTCTCTGGCCCCTGGAATGCTCTGCCCACCCTTCTCGGGGGCTGACCTTCCCATTTCAGAGAAGTGGCCAGCGCAGCCCTTTTCTGCCAGAGCTGATGGGAGGCAGGGCCCCTCGCTTTGGGGCAGGAACTATTCCCCCACCACCTATATGTCCGCCTGGATGCGGTGAGTGAACCATTTTGCAAATAACCTGCAGAGAAGGAAAATAAACATCCCCCAGAAAGGGAGCTGTTTTTCAGCACTGCCCAAGCGGTTTGGAAAAAAAACGCTGTGTGTAGGCACCCGGGCCGTATGAAAAGCCCGGCCGTCACGAGCTGAGATGCAGGAGGGAGGGGTTGAAGTATGCCAAGGTGGATCTGGACTGTGCAGAGCAGCCTTTCCAGCAGGACGGTGGGGATGATGTGAATTGCAATCCAGAACTTCTGAAGGGCACCAGGGGAGGAAAGGCTGGTGCAGAAAAATGCTTTTCTTTCCCTCCCGTAATAGTAAAGCAAGGGGCTGTGCCTTGGGGTTGGCTGGTGGGCACGCAGAGGAAGGGCTTCGTGCAGAGCATGGCGTGAACGATGGGCTGGCGGGGCTCTGGTCTGGTGCAGCAGGCTCTTCTGTGGTGCGTAACCTGCTGCCCCGTGTCTCTCTTCACAGCATGCAGCCCCGGTGGGTTGTCCGAGGTGCTCTGCCTGCCATGCTCCTGGTCAGCTGGGTCAGTGCAGCCCAGCCTTCCGGGATCAACCTGCAGACCTTCATCGGGTGTGCCGTGCGGGAATTCACCTTTCTGGCCAAGAAGCCTGGTTGCAAAGCCTTGCGCATCACCACAGACGCCTGCTGGGGACGCTGTGAGACTTGGGAGGTGAGTGGTTGCGTCTCCGGGGGCTTCAGAGCACCTCTTGGCCGCCTTGCTGGAGCAGGTGGTCCACGCTCAGCTCTAGACTGGTCCCTGGAGGCAGGCACCATCCGGACGGGGGTGGATTATAGCTGGGATAAAACTCCGTGGCATCCGTCCCTCTAGCAGTTGCGGACTTCGTCTTGTGCTCAGCTGGATCTTAGCAAATGAGCCAAGCCTAGAGGAAGTTTGCAAGCGCTCACGGAACAAAGCTGGTGCGACCAGCATCCTTCTTCTATATCATGTGCAGCAGCAGAAACAAACAGGAGAAGGAAATTATTATTATTATTATTATTATTATTATTTAAAAAATTTTTATGCTGCCCCCATCGCAACGAAGCCTCGGGGCGGATCACAGCAAATTGCTTGCAATGGGGCTCAATTCCGGGCAAGCGTCATGTGAATGCTGGGCACACTCTCCAAGGACTCAGACCCAAGGCTGCGACCAAGTCCAGGGAGCTGGGACCAGGGGATCTTGTGGATTCCCACCCCAGGCGTGTTCCTCACATCCTTAGGGCTAATAAACCAGTTGAACCCTGCTAGGTGGAGGGGGTCCCACATCAAGGAATTGGGTGGGTTACCTCTTGGGAATGAGGTGCGTTCCCACTGAAAGAACACCTGCTGCCTTTGTCAGTTTGGCCCCGACACTTTTTCCCAGGTAGGGAGAGCCGGGCCGCTGTGATCTCCCGACTGGGCTCCTGCCGTGAGCTCTGGGTGGGGCGGCCCTTGCATCTCGCTTCAGAAGCTGCAGCAAGTGAAGTGCAAATCGCCTCTGCTCCTAACCGACAAAGCCCTAAATTACTCCGAACCAGGAGAACCCATGTATTGCCTGTTCCATGTCAGCCTTCCAGCTGTTTCGAACTTCATCTCCCACCAGCCCTAAGCCACACGGCCAGTGCTGAAGCATCCTGGGAACCGTAGTTCAAAACGAGTGGAGGGGGCCAGGTTGGAGAAGGCTGCCCTGCAGAGACCCAGTCGGTCCCTGAGAGCTGCATTGGTCCATTTGTGGCTGGGAGGCTGCTGGCAGGTCATGGCACACGCACGGCCCCCCTGGTGGTGGCACCCGCCCTCTGGAGCACCTCCCTGTGCATGGTCTGAGAACCAAAAACTGCAGCTAGCATCAAATGACTCTCGGAAAAATCCTTTGTTGTTCTGACTTTCTCTGCCCTGTAATGGACTCTGACACTGCTCTGGTTCTTTTTTTTTGTTTCTGTTTTTGCAATTGTTTCTTTTGACATTATTTTGTATTGTAATATAGGGGTATTTTAGTGTGAATCACTTAAATATGCTATTATTAATTAATATTAATATTAATTAATATTTAAGGTTTATTTAAGGTTTTTGGATGCCATCCCAATGACTAAAAAAGTCTCTGGGCAGCTTACAGAGAGTGAACCAAAAAACCAAAGCCTATAACAACAATGTCAATGCTATTAATATTTATTATTAATAATAATATCATCAACATCAGAACTATTAATATTAATTAATAATATTAATCAACAGTGATATAATAATAATAATTACTACTATGTTAATATTGTTAATTGATATTAATACCAATTAATATGTATTATTATTATTATTAATTATAAATATTCTGCCTACTCCCAGTACTGTGACTCAAAGTGGCTTGCAACATTAAAAACTCATACACAGCCAATGTGGTGCAGTGGTTATGAGCCACTGACTGGGACTCAGGCGATCCGGGTTCGAGTCCCCGCTCAGCCATGGAGCCAACTGGGGGACTTTGGGCCAGGCCCAGACCCTCAGCCCAGCCTACCTCACAGGGCTGTTGTTGTGGGATAAGATTGAGAGTAGCAGGAGGAAAATGATGTGAGCTGCTTGGAATGCAGGGTATAAGTCTAATAAATAAATAAATAAACATACTATTAAAATAGAAATACACAAAAGTTTAAAAACATCAGTAGAATATTAAAATTATATCAATGCCAAAATTTAAAACGCTAAAATTTGGAGAACACAGCTAGTCCAACGCAGTCTCACAGGTCCAGACTATCCCCAAAGGCCTGATAGAACAGAAAGATTTTTGCCTTCTTCCGAGGACACAAAAGCAGGATTCCGAGAGGGCCTTTTAAACATAATATTAGGCAATTATACCAGATGGTACAGAATTAATGGCTTCCTCTTGTTTTAATGGGCCCGTACACTTTCCTGAATATCTAGAAAAGCAAAACAAACAAGCAGAAACATATGATCAGGGATGAGCACACATTGTCGCAAAAATAAAAAATTAAATCATGCACCAAGGTGATGAAAAGTCTGTGGCAGGAAAAGCTGCACCCGATGTGAATTATGCAAATGATGCAGCTTGCAGTGATCTAACTCTGGCTGCATTCTCAGGGCCTCCTGAAGAGTTCTGGAGGTGTGTGTGGGATTACTCAGAGTCCCAGCTTTGCGATCTTGCACTCCTGGAGCTGGGTCTCAAAAGGCTGAGCCCCCCGGCCCCTCCCAGCTGTCCCAGAGTGAGCTCCAGCGGAGGCGAAGGGGGGCTTGCCAGGGACCAGGGAAGACTGGACCGTTCCTGCTGGCATCCCAGCCATCTTCCGCATCCCTTTCTGGTGCTTTCCCCAAATGCCTGAAATGAGCTCTTTCGGTAAAAATCAGGGATAGGGTGCCACTGCTATACTTAGTTTTCGGGCTTTTGTGCATAGGGTTCTGCCCTAAATTCTCTTTTTTTGCATAATTTCTCCTGGGCATGGAAATTACTGAGAAATAAGGACATGGACATTCTTTCTCATTCTCTCTGTCTCCCCCTGAATAACATATTCAGACACCTCTCTGGGTTCAGAGATTTTAGCAAGCACTGGGTCAAAAGCTTGCAATCATAGCTTGAGGGCTAGTAACCTGCTTTATCTCTTTAAATTAAATCTGAGGTTCCTAGGAAGTAGAATCGGTGTTTGGGATTAAAGACTTGTGGCCTCTGTCGTGCTCCCCACGACCCCAGATTGCCTTTGCATGGGAATGAGCAAACACATAGTTGTATATATACAATTTCAGCTGTTCGAGGCAACACACACATTTGCTAAAAAGAAAAATGCAGTGCGATCCTACAGTGCGATCCTCAGAGGTCAGTCTCTGCATTTACCCAGATGTAGGTGACATTGCAGGTTTAACTGCTGAATTGGTAAAAGGCAAATGAAAGATCTAGCAAATCTGGGGGTTTCACTGAGAATTCTTTTTGCTGTGTCTTGTGTGGTGCTGTTTGATGGCATGAATATCACTCCCAAGCCCTGGCTGAAGCAGAATGGGCCCAATCCACCATGCCAGCAAGGACTGGCGTGGTCCGCAAAGGCCTTTCTTGGCTTGTTTTGGCTTGCAGAGAGATGACTTAATTGGCTTCCAGCCATCTCAAGTGGGAATCGTTCGCTCTAAAATTCCACCCGGTGGGTTGTGTCTCCCACCTTCAATTGTTGTGCAGCAAAATATTTCTAAAGAGTTTACGTAATGCTGTCATTATGTAATTTCAAAGCCTCTTACAGCTTAAACACTCAAGAAAAAACTGCCCTTTATTACTCCACTGACAGAACATTCCTCGGAGATTAAAGCAGAGCCCCGGATTCAGAAGTGATGCATTTTATTCCACATCCCAGTAGTCTGTCTGTTTCTAATTTTGGTTGCTTCGGAACTGTGGCAATTGTGCAGAGGGCTGTGTGAGTGGGAGTGACAGGCCAGGAGGCAAGTCCACACACATTGCGAGTCCACACACATTGCGCGGAAAGAAAACAGGGCCCTCTGATGCCTCATCTCCCTTGGCGCTGTGGAAATCTCTCCTTGGTTGTGTAGGATCTGACCGAGAGAGTGAGAGAATGCGCATGGCCAGTGGATTGAGGATATATGGAAAAGAGGCACCTATCACACAAAAAGGCCAGAAGAAGACAGTCATTTTCATTTGCTCTCTTACATGTATGGATGCAAATTTAGGGATTACTATGATAATTTATATAGATAATTACAGAAAATTAGCAAAACAGTATGTTTCATGGTGCAGTCATACATGCTCAGGTATGACTGTATGCCCACTTTCCCATCTGCTGTCCAGATGCGGTGGATGGTTAGTGTCAGAGCCTCTTTACTAAGGGGAAGATGGAATCGCCTTGAACCCCCAGCGTTTTTATGGGTGAGATCACCCAGTCCTCCTGCAGTTGCTGGGTAGTGGTCTCCTCTGCCAACTACAAGCTTTTAGAACACGTACAGAGTATTTTATAGATTCTGAGTCTCATGGGCCCAGCAGTTGGACAGTTGATGAGGAAACAAGGTGAACACAGCTAGAAGAAGGCGAGAGGGCTGCAGAGGGGGCCCAGTACAAAGGCACTTGATCGCAGGAGATTAACATAATGATCACTCAGACACAGGGATTCCTGTGGGTCTTGGCATGCAAATGAGGGTGATTGCAATGTAGTTAACCTGGCATCAGCAGTTCTTTCTGATCAGCAAAACAAGAGCCCTGGCAGCTTCTGGGGGAAGCCATCAGGTCCCACTTCTTAAAGTAACAACACATGCCAAACAGTAACCTGGCTCGGGATTTTGGGGTGCTTCCTGAGAAAGGGGTGCAGGCATTTTATAACACAAAGGCACATAAGAAACCCTTTTCTCCCAGGATTTATCTGAATTTTCCCAACCATCTCCACGTTGTCACTAGTGCAGGTCTAGGACACAATCATGTGAGTCAGTTCAGCTACATCCTGTTCCAAACTTCCTCTTTCTCAGAAAGCAGCTTCCTTCTCAAGACTAAACTGGTGTGCCGAGAAAATTATCAAAATTATCGCCTACAGTGGAGTGTGTGTGTGCCTGCTGAGGGTTCAAAGGGTCGGGGAAAGGGAAGCAATTGGAAAAATAGCAAGGAAAGAGAAAGAAAAAAAGGAAAAGAAAATCCCAAAGCACAGGCTACGCGACCCCAGTGCTACTAGCTCTCTGGGAAGTCCCTCGGTCCTTTCACCCCACTTTGGCTGCAAGGAAATCAGTGCCTGTCATCCTCGTCTGCTGCCCCACTTCTCTGCAGTCGTGTCACCCAGCCTATTCTGAGGCCCGGTTTCTTTCTCCCCAGGCCTCTTCTAACTCATAGTAGCCCAAGAATTTCACACTGCACATAGTTGCGCTATGGGATTTTCTGCCATGGGTCGTGCTGATGGTTACCAGTCTGGATGGCTTTAGAAGGGGACTGGACAGATCCATGGAGGAGGAGGCCTGAGAGAGAAAGAGAGAGTTGGAAGGTTTTCTCTTTCATATATTCAAAGCCACAGACTTTTTTTTCCTTTTTTTGGGCAAAATCTTGTTGTTTTCCTAAGTACATCCAATAAGCTCAATCGCCAAAGAACGAGGCTCTGAGCAAGCAAGAGCGGTTTGTTGAACCCAGAGTAGCAACTATGTCTGAGAACTCTCCTTTTGAGTAGCCCCGGCCCCCTTCCTCTGGAAGGGCCCCTTTGGAGGCAGGCTGGCCTCTGTGTGCCGCCCCTCTGGTTGGGTGATACCTCGTCATATAGTCAAGTGTTGGCTCAGGCTTGGCTGGCTGCTGGAGCTGCTGCCCCAGGCCCATCCTGGTGGCTGAAGATCTTGGCCATTCTCAGAGTCTGCCTGGACATCTGCAGTGGGCAATGCTGAGATAAGCCCCTCCACCGCTTCCATTTCAGTATTAGGACAGGTCCTCCCCATCTGAAGAGCCCGACTCAAAGCTCGCCAGGAGAACTGCCTCTTTCGTTCCCAGCAGAGGGGGAGAATAATAATGGGGAATCTCTGCTTAATTTGTACAACTGACTTTTCCCATCGTGGAAATTCTAAGTGGTGCTTATACTCAAATACTCCTCCTCCTCCTCCTCCTCATCATCACCCCTCATCATCACCCCTCAAACCAAACCCAAAATCCAAGCAAAAAATAAAAAAGGGAAAAATAAGATGTTGCAATTTTCTTACAAGAGGTATAAGTAAACCCATCACTAGGAATGCACAGATATTATGTACTCCAATAGTGTATGCCAATAATTTATTTGACTTATAAAACTGAATCCAATAGTCCCAGTCAGGACTCTCTGGACAGTGTACATCCATCAGCAATGTTATACAACATTATAAAATAAATAATAATTAAAATACATTTTAAAACTATTAAAATCATAAACTAATTCAGATAAAACTTCCACTTAGTATTTTACAAGGTTTAACCTCAGTAGGTATAGTGGTTAACTCATTTATTTATTTTATTTATTTTTTGGATTTATATCCTGCCTTTTTCCTACAAAGGGCTCAAGGCAGTTTACATCATTCTCCTCCTCCATCTTATCCCCACAACAACAACCCTGTGAGGGAGGTTGAGCTGAGAGTCTGTGACTGGCCCAAAGTCACCCAGTTGGCTCCATGGCTGAGCGGGGACTCGAACCCAGGTCACCTGAGTCCCAGTCCCATGCTCTTAACCACTATGCCACGCTGGCTCTCACGCCACGCTGACTCATCAAAAGAGTTGTTTCATTTGAAGGATCAATGAAATTTAAAAGTATGATAATGCTATTTATTTAATTATCAAAATAGCTAGTAAACAGAGCTGTTTTCGCCTGGTGCTGAAATGACTGAAAGGAAGGTGCCCGGCGAGCTTCTCTGGGGAGCCAGTTCCAAATACATGTTAGAGATATGCTACTGTAGTTGAAGATAGTTATGCATAGAATTCAGCAACAGCAGCCCAGATATCCATATATTTGTCCATTCCTAAAGTATGCCTAAAAAACACCCATTTGACAGCGAAGCAGCTTCATGGTGGCCCCACAGGGCTGCAACTAGTCCATCGCTCTCATTTTCCTCCCTTGTGATCAGAAGCCCGTCCTGGATCCGCCCCACGTGGAAGCGCACCATCACGTCTGCACCTACAACGAGAGCAAGCTGGTGACGGTGAAGCTGCCTCACTGCGCCGCCGACGTCAGCCCATTCTACACGTACCCCAAGGCCCTCCGATGCGACTGCACCATATGCCAAACCGCGACCACGGAATGCGAGACCTTCTGAATCCGTGCAGCAAGGCAGCCCGCCTTGCTTTGGGCCGAATCCTGTCCGGGTGGAAATTGCGGTGGGGTGGCGGGGGCTTAAATCACGGCATAACGTAGCCGCTTGGCTCTGAGGTCTCCCTGTTCCTCTGCTCATCAGCTGCGGATGCAGAGGGCTCTTTGCTGCTTTCATGTCCTCGTGGGGAGAGACACTGAAGCTTTGCAGATGGTCATCGGTTTGTGTATAACATCGGTTTTCCTTGGGCCTTTGGTGGCCTGAGTCTTCATAAACCCCAGACTCTATCCGCCAGTGCCTGCATGATAGATCTTTGCTCATATTCAGGCTTTTAGGTGTCCCCTTAGAACATGTTTGGTGGATACATAAGTGATGTCAACATAATACGTTCCATGCATGCACCATCTGTGTATAAATGTAGCCAATACATAGACACACACACACACACACACACACATATATGTCGGTGTATGCCATCTGTTTACATATACATATATATGTACATATGTATATGTAAACTGTTGATCTGTGTATTTGTACAGCTATTCACATGCAAGGGAATGTGTATTTTTTTACATTGCATTTATATCCCTCCTTTTTTCCTCTTATGAGAAACACTATCCATGGAAACACTAGTCCATTTTATCCTTGCCACGACAACTGGTGAAGTGGGTTAGGCTGAAAGTGAGTGACTGGCCCAAAGCCACCTGGTGAACTTCATGGCCTACTGGGGACTAGAAACGGGATCTCCCAGGTCCCCAGTCCAGCTCTCAGCACCACACCGCATGGGCTCCCACGACTTCCTACAGGGGTTCGGGGTGATCGCCCTGTGTCCTTTTGTCCACTGTGAGGGAGTCCTTTACCTGGAGGAGGATGCAACAGAACAGTGTAACCTTTACATCACTAAACAAACATCTAGCTTCATGATTAACAAACAATGCCAATAAAAACGCCTGGTTTTTCAATAAATTGACTTAAACAATCAATCAATTCCTTGTAAAAACATGATTGCTGCTTTCTACAGAAAATAGTCTTGGGGGTTGAATGGGGCTTGCACAGAGTGTATTCTCTAAAAAAGTGACTGTTTTCTACTTAAAGATTATAAATGTAACTAGTCTAATAGAGTGCGTGAGCATAGAAAATCCGCCCATCAAAATCATTACTCTGAAACAGAGAAATTCAATAAAAATGCTAATGAACATTTTTAAAAAATGTTGGCTAGAGTTTATTTAATAAGGAGGAGGGAAGAGGACTAGAAGCAGTGGGGATATTTCAGGTAACTATGAAATCTAAGCAGGTCTCCGAACAAGAAGGTCTCCTAAAAATTGGAGGGGGTGGGGTTGCCAGGAAATCTTGATTAATGGAGCTAGGAGATGCTACTCTGGATCTCACTAGTTTACTGGCAGAACACCCAGGTACCCCTCTTTGACAGAGAAAAACAACAACACTGTCGGTTAGCCAGTATACTGAACTGGCTACAAGCTTCCAAAGCATATACAGAGTTTTTATAAGTTATGGGTCACATACACAGTTTCAGGGCTATGATGAGATTCTAAATGGATGAGAAGGCGAGGACAGAGGAGAAGCTCAAAATCATAATACAGAAATATCAAGAAATAGATATCAGGAAAAATATCATGACACATCGAAGCCTTGATAACACAGAAAACAATAAGGAGTTACAGAATTCTAACGGGTTTCAATGTTTTATTTATTTATTTATTTAAAACATTTCTATGCTGCCCCCATCTCAACAAAGCCTTGGGGCGGCTCACAAAGCCTCAGTTTTTGCTTTTGCAATGAGAGATACAAAATTCCTTGAGACAAAGCATGAGCTGGCTAGATAGTTTTCCATTGCAAAGGAAGTGCAGCTGCTCTGATTGGCTTGCAGCTTTGTTTCAATTCTGTTTCTGCTTGGCAATCAGGAGCTGAGAGCAGGTGGATCATTTGCATAGCTTGGGGCTGTTTTTCCTTTACCAGGGAAGGAACCAGAAAGGAACAACCCTGCAGACGGCAGGGGAGAGAGGACAGGCGAGGCTCTCCGAAGTTTAACGTATAAAACTTACAACTTTTATTAGGACAACTCCAACAGGGTCCACGGAATTACTCGTCCAGTGCCAAGCATGGAGATCTCTCCTCCCTTGCTTGTCTGCTGCAACACAACTCTGGGCTGCAGCACAACTGCAGGCTCAGCATCTTGCCCTCTGGCCTCAGAGACACTGCTGGATGAATCCCAGGCGAGGGTTTCAGGAAGCTCTTTCCACCACCTTCTTGAGCTGGTGTTCACCCTCTCCCCTGCAGTCTCCCAGTCTCTCTCCTCCCTGAAGGAGTCTTGAGTTCCCTCCTCCTTCAAAGGAATCTCCAATGGCATCTTCTCAGGACCCAAATGGATTCTGTTCTAAGCAAGCTGCACCTTACAGGGGTCTATAAAAGCCCCCACAGTCAAGACTAGGCTGGGCCGGGGGAGCTGGCCTTACCCTACAGACAAATAACATGCACCAAATATGTACCGTATTTTTCGCTCTATAAGATGCACCTGACCATAAGACGCACCTAGTTTTTAGAGGAGGGATCCATGGAAAGCTTCCTGATAAATCACAGGCACATTCCCCATCACTTCTCCATGGGCTTCATTAAAAGACGGGTTGCCATTTGAAAACACACACTGAACTGTGATTAACAGCTCTCACCTGCGCCGGAGGAGGGGGGCGGAGCAGGGCGCGCCGAGCGTGTGCTGGCCAGGTGTGGGGCAGCTGGGCTGGCAGCATGCCAGAGGTGGTCTTCTGGGTGGCGCGGCGGCGGCAGGTCTTCCTGGGCGGTGGGGATGAGCCGTCCGTCTCTCTGTGCAGCCAGCGGGTTAAAGCCCGCGGCTCCTCCTCCTCCGCACGACTCCCCCTGAGCGGCGCAGCTCTCACCTGCGCCGGAGGGCGGGGGGCGGGTGGAGCAGCGCACGCCAAGCACGTGCTGGCCAGGTGGTGCCTCGTGGTGCAGGCGGGCCGGCAGCGTCCCGGGCGTCGGGCACACACACTTTCGCTCTGTGAGACGCACAGACATTTCCCCTTACTTTTGAGGGGGGAAAAGTGCGTCTTATAGAGTGAAAAACACAGTATGTGCTAAATGACCTGTGTTCTAAAGTCTCGCTCTCTCTCTCTTTCTCTGCAAAGGGCCTGGGCTCCTAAGGGCACTCCAGGGGATGAATGGATGGGGAGAGAGGGCACTTGATTTCAGTAGAACACCCCAGGCAGAAAGATTCAAGAGAGGAGTCAGGAGAGGAAGCGCACATGGGCAAACGCCCCACGTCAGTGGGACTCACCAGGACCTCGGAAGCCATTTGTCAGCAACTGGCCAGAGAAAGATGGTGGGGCCGAGGGCCTCCCAGGGATCCAGGTGCCAGCCCAGGAGTGCTGCCTCAGAGCAGCGCCGTTGCGTCTGTTCACTCCTGGAACATCTGTACGCACAATCTATAGCCTGGATTAAATAGGCTTCTAGTACCCATGAACCTCTCTCGTTTGCACGGATGTGGGCAGAAGCCCTCTTCAAGCATGACAACATGTAACCATGGAGGACACATCATGACTCCGTCCATCATGGAAGACCACCGGGCTGGGGCAAGGAAAGGCAGGAGGAGAGGCAGGCCGACTAGGAGGTGGCTGGACTCCACCCAGGAAGCCACAGCCTTGAGTTTTCAGGAGCTGAGCAGGGCTGTCAAAGACAGGAGATTTTCGAGGGCTCATGGAGTCATCGGAAATCAGAAATGACTTGACAGCCCATGATGACACCAGAGGGCAGAGAAAGATGCATGTGCCGACCCCAGCCCCCTCCACTTCGTCTATGTTGATGGAGAGCCTCTGAAATCTAAATGGGATCACATTTTGTTGGAAGGAGTTACACTTCCTTGGCACAATCAGAAGCCCGAGTTACACCGGCTTCCGCACTGGGAAGAGTCCTTTAACGGTGTTCCTCTGAATGGGGCAACATTTGGTGGAGGGTCGGGATTGCGCTCTAGCCTGCCCTCGGGTTACAACTTCGGCATGCCAGAAGGGGCGTGCATTGCCACAACCGCTTGAACGGGGAAATGCGCCAGCATAAGGCGTGAACCCCCCTCAAAACGTAATGTGGGAATACATTTGGGCCTGTGAGAAATTTAGGCCTGATTCTTCCTACTCCTTGACTCACTGCAGAGGATTCTAGGCTTCCTATCCTTCCTAGGCTTCCATTAAGCTTCCTATCCCACCCCTGGCAGGGCAAATGCTGCTCCAACAAAGCCCTCGACTGCTAAAATTAGCGTGCAAGCAGTTTATAAAGACCGCTGTTGTGATTATTGCTAATATGTCAGTGTGAGAAGGACAGAACAAATGCTAGTGGAGCGAAAAGACTAACCTAACACCAGCATAACGTTTTCCCATGTGTGCATTCCTGCAGTCAGGTCAAGACTGAGGAAAAAGCTCTCTTTTTCTCTTAGATGCCTTTGAAAACTCTAACGGCACTATCTATAAAACGCTGCTCGTTTGCCTGTTTATTTGTGAGAGGGAAGCCCTGCTGCACGAGTGGGAAGGGATAATGTTTCACTGGCAGTTGTCTGCTGAGAAAACATCTACTGTCTCCTCTCGTGCTCACAATCTGTTTCAATAACTCTAAATGGCACCTCCCCACCCACAAATCAATCTTTGTTTTTAATAAAAATGAAATCACTGAAAGATAGAAGTTTTATGCAATGTTTATGCCTCCTCCTTCCCCCCAGTGCTTGGCTTTTCTTGTGGCACTTAAATGGTTTGTAACTGGGTGGTTATTTAGACATCTTGGAAGTCTAATAGAAATGGAGAATAGCAATTTTTAAAAAGAAACTCAAGATACCACATTTCTCCCATGTTAAAGAAAGCCCTTTCCTCTTCTCTACTCCTCTTGTGCTTTGCAGTCACTTATGGATGGCAGGGCTTCCCAGTTCTTTTAAAACTTACCTCCAATATCTATCTATCTATCTATCTATCTATCTATCTATCTATCTATCTATCTATCATCCATCCAATCCCATTTATATCCTGATCTTTAGCTGAGCAAGGCCCCCAAAGATCAATAACCTTGCTCTCAGGTTTACAGTCTGAAGGACATGACACTAAAGGAAAGGGCATTGGGAGGGAGGAGGAAAAAGAAAAGGGAGCTGCTAGTTCATAGTTTCCAAGATCTCATGGCTGGGAAGCGCACGACAAGCTCCCTGTAGCTGTTCCTTCTCTGTTCAAGGGATGGGGCCAGGTCAGTCCATGTCCTGCCATGGTGTTCTTTCCGGGAGGCAGGAGTTGGGGCTGGCTGCAGCCTCCCACAGGCTCTGGGTGAATGAGGCCGGAATACCACGGGACGAGGCCAGAGTCTGCAGTCTGAGAGAACTCCCGGCCTCCTCCTGATCCAGCCTTGGAAAACAACTTTTTCTGTGAGGCTGTTCCATGCCAGGCGGCAACTTCAGAGCAATCTGAGGGTGGTGGCAGGATCCCTTTCCACTTCCTTCCATCTTTCCATGGCAGAACGGATGGAAGCCATTCCCAAGCCTTCTGCTTCTTGCTGGCAGGGCAGAAAGTGGGAGTGTGGGGGGGAAAGATCTTCCAACACCCGCACCCGGCTTTTCACAAACTCCCTCCCACTGGCATCCTTTCCAACCCTTTGGGGTGCACATTGGTGAGAGGGGAATGTGGGGGTTTTGCATTCGGGGAATCCAGGGCCTCCCTGAGATGCAACAACACACAGCAGTACAGTCCACCCAGCCCTCAGCCATCTAAAGCTAGGATGGCTCACTTCATCTGCCACACAGTCTGAGCACATGGAACAGAAACAACCCCATATTCCTTCCTGGTTCCCCCCCCCCCCCGCTTCCCTTTCTACCCCCCCTTCCTCTAATCTCGTCTGCACTGAACTTCAGATTGCATGCACCTCGGGGCAGGGGCCTGCCCTCTTAAATGCTGCATTGCACAATGCACACTGATCGGATAGGAAGGCAGATTATCTGTGAAGGGTGACACCTCCCTCAAAAGCTCCTTCTCACCGACAGACTGGTCACCCCTGCTCTGAACTCCGGCTGGAATGCTTTGAATGAAGAGACCTAAGCTTCTCTCCAGCCCGGCGCTTTAAGGCAGTGTCCCCGATGCCCTTTTAAAAAGTTTTGCAAAGCATCTTCCTCATTCCCCCTTGCCACCCCCGGCCCTCCTGCCTGCCAGGTGGACATTATGTAACTAATTAAGGTTCTCTTCCTTAATAAGCTTTATGCTGGAAGGTTTTTATATTCCCTTGTTAGTTAAATTTGTCAGTGATTGCTCAACGTTGGATGCTTATGCTTTGGCTATTAATAGCAACCACGCTGAGGAATGTCCTCCAAGCTGTCTCTTAGGAAGGCACATGGGCTTCCATCCAGAATCCAGTGCAGCTAGACAACAACAACAAAGCCAATGCTCCACTGCATCAGCTGGGGCTGGCCAGAGGCATTCCACTGCCTGAGGTGAGGAACAAGATGGAGGCTCTCCCATCCCAGGTGCAAAAGCCGGCTGGACTGGCAGGCAGATCCGCCTCGGGCGCTGGGGATGGAGAAGCATCCTCCCCCGAACGGAAGGCAGCAGGAGCTTAGGGGGCACGGACCCCTGCAGAGGGGTCCTGCCACTGCCACGCATGGCGACCCAAAGAGGGCTGTGATGGGCCTCCTGATTTCTGCCCATCCACGGAGAACTGGCCACCAGCACTCGGCATTCTGGGGCCCGTGGTGTAGACATCTGTGGGTTAAGCCTCTTCTCCCTAGCGAGGTTTGACCAGCAGGGTGGAGCCGCAAGAGAGGGCGGCAGGAAGCCTGCGCTGTCTTGGGAGTGGAAGACGGCATGTGGCTCAGCCCTGCCGTGCTGGATCAGGGCCTTCCTGCTCCCTGCTGAAGGCAAATCCAGCCAGGAGAGTCTTCCCAGTGCAGGAGACCATATGCTGCCTGTGTCTCCTTCCCCTTCCCCTCCTCCTCCTCCTCTTCCTCCTCCTTCCTCTTCCCCAACTGCTGCTCTACCGTCTGCATGCCAGGCCGTATCTCTAGGATTCCTATATTCCTCAGATTAACACTGAACTGGTGAATTTGAACTTTCTCACAGTATTCTTGCTGTGGCTCTGGAATTTCCAATATGCCCTTTAGGCTCCTTTCTCCTGGGGGAACTTCCGGGTTTGTGTTTGGACTCTGATTGCCAATGATCCTGACTCCTTGATATTTTTTACCTCTTTGGCCCTGAGAAGTAGCTGGATGCTCGAGGAAGTCAAGGGGGAAAGTCCCAGCTCCTCGTGAAGATTTAAACAAGGAGCTGTTGATTCATGGATCATAAGTACTTCCAATTGTCAAACTCCGGTCAGAGTGGGCATTGCCCCAGTGGGTGAGAGAGCTGGAAAGAGAAAGAATGCAGGAAAGAAAAAAATAGGAGAAATTTCTGCTTCCTCACTTTTTACCAGATTCCTTTCTCCTCCTGATTTTTATTTCTTTCTGATTTTTTTAAATTGGTAAACGACCAGGAGGCTGGCAAGCTGCAAAGCAAGGAGCTCCTCTCTAGGACCATTTCTATTTGGGTTCCAAAGAGTGGTTTTGTTTGGGGTGGCACAGTCCTACCTCTTGCTTCCTCTTTTGGGGTGCTGCTTGCACTTCTGAGATCTGTGCCGGCTTTAAAACACAAAGCAATCCGGACAAAAACACTTGCTCCGTTTAATTAAAGAAACCCTTGCATTTTACCAAGCTGGAGGGGAAACATTTCTTGCCATCCAGAAGGGACAGCTGGGTTTAATTAGCTGGGACACTGTCTGTCGCTCCCTGTGCAACATGCCACTCCTGGAAACATTCAAGATTCCTTTGTAAGCAATAACTGCAGAGTGACACCCATTGTTCTGATTGTAATAAATCAATTTAGTGTCAATAACACTCCGGCCGTTCACTGCAGATGCCCGGGCAGCACTCATTATGGAGCCTCATTCGGTCCAAAATGTTGAGCAAGACTTGAAGGCAACTGCAGGTAGACCGTGGTAGATCCACAGCAATGGATGAAACACCTTGCTCCCCCTTACTTCCTACCCACTGTCACCACATACAGGTGAGTAGGTTCCCTGGAGGGCTGTGTTGTATGGAGAAAGCAGCAGCAGCAGCTCTCTAGAAAGCCAGACCTGGGGGATCCTTCCTAAGAGCAAGACATTGGCTAGGTTCACACGTAACAACAAGCCATGGTGGTTTCCACTACAGGGTTGCTTCTCTGCTGTGTTGTCTGAGCCCGGGCATGGACTTGCTGCATGGGACATTTGGTTTCTGAGGAACCACAGGGAGACACAATGGTCTGTTGCGTGGCTTCTGTGCTTCACCATGGGTTATGCAGTCATCTGAATGAAGCAACATAGTTTCTCCATGGCTACCATAGTGTCCAGTGGAAAGAGTCGCCATTGTAGGAGCCACTCTAGCCACCCAGTCTCTATATGCGATGTGGGCAGGGGTCGTACACCCTGGGGTAGAAGTCCAGCTGCAGCGGCTGATGGGAGACATGCTGCCAGCAGGAGGAGTGAGGCAAGAAGGTGGCAACCACACACCTGTGGAAACCACGTGATCACCTGACAGCCTCATCCAGGTAGGAAACCGTGCCACGTGGCAACTGTGCAGCGTGGATCAGTTTTGTGTGTGAACGCCGCCAGTGGGCCAGCGGGCTGCTCCAAAGAACCTTGCCAGCCACTCCTTCACTGCTGGGTTTGAGTGGCAAGTCTTTCTGTATTATTCTGCTCATGGTGTTTCATTGGATGCCCACATTATTTCTGCCTCCCCCCACCCCAAAACTTACACAAATTTTAATTTTTAATGTATTTCCCCAATTACACCCATGTGTGTATGTATCTGTCCTTAGCATGCCCATATGAGTTGCATCTGTCTCTAAAAATGTATTTCTGTATGTAATATTCCTACGCCCATTTTTGCATACACTTTTGGAGCCGACAACTGCATCACACCAGTCAAAGAAGCGCATAATCTGAAAGTAGTATTTATTTATCTAAAAACAGTGTTAAAGTGTCTTTAAAGGTGGACATTTTCCAAGGTGGTATACAACATGAAACCACATGAGAATAAAATTCCATTAAAATGACTATAAATAAAAGACATTTAAAAGAAAAGGTTGAAAACAGGCCAGCAAAGCCAGGTGGGTTTCAGAGCTTTCCTGAAGGGCTGCCGATAATGCCCTGGCAGACCCCGATGGAAGCGCCTTCCAGATGTTCAGGGGCCACTGCCCTCTCTCATGAACTCTTCATTCTAACCGCCTTGGTGGCAAGCCAGGCGAAGATCCTCCGCCGAAGACCTCGGAGCCTGGGCAGGCTAGTGCAGCAGCAGGAGGTCCTTCAAGCACAAAGGTGTTTGGACCTGCATATTAGTTTGGGTCACTTGTCAATGCGGAGCAAACAGCATCCTCCACATTCCTATTATGCACAAATGTGTCACTGCGGCCACCAACTCAGAAGAGGCATTTCCAGTTTTGGGAGCATCTGCAGCCCTTATTTTTTTTTAATAAATGGCTCTTTAGAAACAGTGAGGGCAACCACCCTGTACCCAGTTGTGTGGGAAATAAGGGCAGTGAGGAACTTCATGGAAAGGGTGTTGCAAACAGAGCTTGCTATTCGACCGTTGACGGGCTGCAGAGTTTTGCAGAAGTGGGGTTCTGTGGTCAAAGGGACCCTTGTCTCTAAGAATGGGCAAACGTGTCCGTTGCATTTTCTCCTGCATTCACAATTTGAAAACCTACCGTCCTTTCCCCCTCCAAATGTTGTCAAATCTCACCTAACTGCTAACATCAGCTCAGCGGGTTGTGAGTTCAAAACCACAATATGGAAGGGAAAAACATCAAAAAAACTGGAAGAATCCTCTTCTCCCATCGCAGCGTATGTTGGATTGTGCTCTCAAAGGTACATAGAGGCTTGGATTGCTGGTTTTTGTTTCAACCTTTGTCAACTTCCTTTGCCTGTTTTTAGGGGTAACAAGAATACAGCTTTTGAGTGGATGGTCATATTAAGTAACAGTGGAGTCCAAGCTCACTGGGACATGCTGGGAATCAGAACTGTTTTCCCAGTCCAACACGTGTTATTGGATTGTGCCTTTAAAGTCCTGTTTAAAGACTGCAGCTGTCTTTTGTCTCTGGTGTGTCCAGACAAAACCTACTCTGCAAGAAATTATGAGCCCATAAATCTTTCCTAAAGATTCCTAAAGATTTCCTAGTAGCTAATGTGAAGATTTGTATCTGCCTAAAGAGAGTGCAATCCGCAAGAAAGAAAATTTCAAGAAGGTCAGCCAAGGATGTTACGCCAGGTTCTCCAGAGGAAAAGGAAGTGGAAAGAGCGATGAGAGTGTGGTCAGTGGCTTCCAGTTTACCTTTAAACTGAATAATGTTGAACGATCACGTAAAGTGGGGACCAGTCACTGAAGGCTGGTCTTACAGTTCAAGTACGACCCGATTCCTCCAGGTTCTCCCCTCGAATGGTTCACATTTGCATGGCTTTTAAAGTGCAATCTTACAAAAGGATTTTGCCCAGCTGCATTTCCAAGCATGTCTGTTTACTAGGCATCTTATTTACTTGTAAAATTGGTATCCCTGCCGTTCCTCCAAGCTGCTGCCTGTCACCTCCCTCCTTTCCATCTTATGCTCACAACAGCCCTAAAGTAGATACTGCAACCTGCCTTCCACCCTGCAGAATTTTGCAACAACTTCAGGTACGTGTGTTTGTTGCACATCTGCTGTGCATTTGTGCCGTTCATCCATTGTTAGGAACTTCGCAAACGGCCTTCTATTGATTGCCTCACTGGTCTGCCTAGTTTGGTGCTGTCTACACATGCCATGGAGCACTCTTTCTCCAGGTGCCCCCAGGCATCACCCCTAGCTAGCATGCTGAGCCATGTGACACCTGTACAAGGCAGGTCACTATTTTCCCTGTACTGCAGAGGGGATCTGAGGCCTAGGCAGTGCCAGGACTCCAGTCTCTGATTCTCCACCGTTGCATTCAGAGGAGAGATACTTTCCCAGAACTAGCCTCCAACTTCCTCTCTGCCTCAGGAGCTCTGGAGCAAAAGGGCCTCAGTTTGCCAGCAAGTCTCTGACCTGAGAAGGTTGAGATGCTGCAGGAGGAGGATGCCAGACCAGAAGATCCAGAAGAAACAGAGCCTCTCTGGGGCCAACACAGCCACTGGCTACTGGAGCCGGTCAAGAGATTTCACTCCCTGGAGCTGCAGTTCTGCCCTGGGCTTGGTCTGGGTTTGCTTGTGCTGAAGGAACACTGGAACTTGCGGATTCTCCAGGCTGAGCTTCACGGGGACCTGTTTCAGTGCTACTTGCTTGACTTGGCCTTAGCTGAACCTGACTTCCACCTCCATGGACTTTGCTGGGCGAGCCTGGCCTTTGACCTCTGCATTACTGGAACCTGAGCTCCACTTTGCTTGGACTTGGCTTTAGCAGGCCCTGCCCTCTGTATTCTTCTGACTTTTCCTCTCTAGAGCCCGACCTCTGCTCCCCATGTCTTCATCTTAACCGTACTTGACTTCCACCTTGCTTGGATTTTGCCTTCCTGAAATGAAACCTGCACTTGGCTTGGACCCTCTCTTGCTTCCACTGCCGGAGCCTGAACTCGGGTTTAGCACCACTGCCCCCTGCTCAGGCTGGACACCCACCTGGCTAGAATCACCGCCTGGCATGGAAAAGACAGGTTGGCTAGCCTAAGGCTGCATCCAGCGAGTTCACTGAAGCCAAGGTGAATGCTGGGCCCTGGCCTGTCTTATTCATAGCCCAGGCTCCTGGCTACTGCAGGCTTCGGTGTGGGTGGCCGGCCCATGTCCACGGGAGAGATGTCGCAGCTCACATAGGCTCTGTGAAGACTGCCGTGGCCCATATTCCCCACAAAAACTTTAATATCTAGCATGTAATAGCTATCATTCCGGGCAAACAACCTGCACTCACTCAGTCTAAGAATGTGCATGATATATTGGATAGAAAAACCAACAACAGCACAATTTCAAGAGATACTCAGAGCCAACCCTTTTGACTTTTGCCCTCTTGGGTTGCTATGATGTGGAATGGGTACCACCTCCTTTTTTTTCTTCCTTAGGAATTTTCCTCTCCCAGTGCTCCAGAAGCAATTCTTGGAATTCGTTACACATCACAGTGAATGAGGAGGCCAACATGTTTAGCTTTAAATATATTTTGAAGTTGTTATGAGCTTAGTTCATCTTTCTTATGCAATGCTATGCCTCTTTAGACAGGAGGAAGGTCTACAACTCTGGCTATTGCTGCCAACCTGTGTTGACAATACTGGGTTGGATGAGCTCAAGGTCTGAGCAAGTCTGCTTCCTAGGAGATGCATTTCAACCTGATGCCCTGCTTTTGCACCTGTGCAGTCACCTTTTCAAATACTGCCAGTAGCTGCTGGTGGTGCGTGTAACATGGGATTATACTAGTCCTTTACCTGGAACACCCACGCATTGTATGTAGAAGGCCTCCAGTTCAGTCCCTGGCATCTTTGGACAGGACTGGAAAAATGCCTGTGTGAAACCCTGTTGAGCCGATGCTGCCAGCCCGTGTTGGCAATAGGGGGTTGGGTGGGCAAAGACCTGGACCCTGTATACACAGCATCCTCTTGGGCATTTGCAGGTGCCCACACTCAGAAGGAGGCCCGCCACCTGCCTCCAAACCTGCTGAGCAGGTGGCTCCATCAACACGCGCCTCCCAGGAGACTCAACTCACCTCTCCATCTGGGTGGTGATGTGAGTCGGGCCCCAGGGGACACGGCTGGTGCACAGGCAGCAGCAACAGTGATGAGAAAGGGGAAGGGGTCTACTCTGAGAAAGGGGGGTGCAGAAGGCACCTTGTACAAGCTTCTCCCACAAAAATAGCTGGAGTTTATCCTGCCACCCCTTCTGTCCTTCTGCAGCTCGTGCTGAGACGGCTCCTTGCTGATTTGAGCAACGGCTTTTCCTGGCGTGTGTGTTTGCGTGTGCTCCCCTTTCCCCTGATTTCCATCTTGAAAAATCCTGTGCCCTCTTTGCAAGTGGCGCATTGCCAGAAGAGCAGCTTGGTGATTTTCTGCAGGCAACGGCACCTGAAGGTTACGAATGAACACGGACACTAGGCTGCAATGCATCTGTCCGGCTTCCTCTGCATCTTGCCCATTGCTCATTCCAAACAAAGGCGACAGATAAAAAATTCAGTGGCTTCAGATTTTGCTAAGAAAAGTATCCCAACATGCTCAACCGTGAGAGGCCACTACATTCTGCTGGCTTCTCTTGAGCCTGCACTGAATCATTTTGCCGGGGGTCAGACTAGATGGCCCAGGAGACCCCTTCTGACTCGCTCTGTTTCTATATATAAAACAAAGAAAAATTCAGTATAGATGTCTTTGATTCCGTGCCAATTTTTGACATGGAAAATGGGGAACAGCCATGAAGAGAGAATCCCTACTTTTCATCTAAGTTGACGTAATCAACTCCTAAAAAGTTGATTGTGTTTTTTGGTTGTTTTTATGTTTGTTGCATAGTCATGCTGGGGTTGATGGGCCATTCCCTGTTGCAGGCCAGAAATCGTGGATCCAGCTTCTTTGGACTCTGCTGCAGGATCTTTGGATACTTTGGTTTTCCTTCTCATCCTTCATGGTTCCTTACACCAGGAGGAACTCCCTTGGCTGCTGTGCTTCATAAGTTGGTCAGCTCAGGGAAAATAGTCCCAAGAAGAGTCTGGATGGCCGCGCGCACAGCTCTGCAGTGGTTAGAAAAAGAGCGGAAAACATGAGAAGGCCGCGAGGATGTCGCTTCGAGGAGTCGCGCACGTGGAGGAGCTTGTCAACGAAATGGCCTCTCCCTGGTCATGTCCCTCTGTGCCGGTGGGTGGAACGCTTTGGCCAGACGCCAGCACAGTTCCACCGGGATCATACGACGGCACAGCAGCCACAGCACCGGGCACAGGGCTTCTTCTTGGTCTTGGGGTTGAAGATGGTGAGAATCGCCTCGTCGAAGACGGCCTTCAGGCCTTTCTGAGTCAGAGCAGAGCACTCGAGGTAGCACTGGGCTCCGATCTGGAACGAGAGAAGAAAACAGGCCTGAGCGAAGATGCTCAGCAGATAAGGAGCTTTCCAGTGGTCCGTGTAGCCCAGCATCTTGCGGGCCACCAGATGCCTCCAGGAAGGTTGCTATGGAGGCAACAGCCTTCTCCCGTTATGGTTTCTCTGCACAAGTGATTGAGTGGTACACTGCCCCTGCACCTGGAGGCTCCAAACAGGTCTCACGCCTAATAGTCATTGGCAGACCCGGTCTCCCTAAGTAGGGACGTCTAGCTCATGTTGGGGGCATGGGGTCACGTGGACATCCCAATGTCCCAGTGGGTGACAGCCCCAACTGCTCCACTCTGAACTTTCCCAGACTGAGCGGGAAGGTCTGGGGTGCTATGGGCATGGATGGGTGGCTGGGGATGGAGCCCCATGCGCTTGGCCTCCTGCTCAAGATGACGTTTCCTCAACCTGGGGCTTTCCAGAATTGTTGGGCTCCAACTGCTCAACCGTTCCAACCAGCACGGCACTCCAGCACAGCTGGAAGTGTAGCAGACGGGGAAAGCCTGTTCTAGGCTGAACAAGCCCTTAGATCATTTGCTTCCAGAACGCAAATCACAGAACTGAGAGAAAGACCCAATGGCTGCGCTTATGCTAACGCTACCGATCTTGCCTTAGCTTCTCATAGTCAACAGCATTGCGCAAGTGTCGCTTTCCACTTGCAACTTTACATTGCGCAAGTTCTGTTTTCCACTAGCCTGATATCGCCAGTTCTGGCAGGAACATCCCGACAGATCTTTCTTCATTCCCTGTTCAGATTTCTGTGCAAGCTCTCAGTGTTAAGGTCCATCTTTTGTGCATCAAATGTGCAAGGAATAGAAGCAATATATGCACAGAAGCAAATGTGTCTACATGTCTAGGAAACCTCCATGTTCCAGATGTTATTGCACGGCTGTTGAAACAGGTATATATGCAGATGTTCCTGTGATATTATTGCAAGTGGGCCTAGCTTAAAAGGAAGATACAAAGCTAGGGTGACCATGTATCCTTCTTTGAAGAGGACTGCTCTGCCTTTGAAAAGAACTTACTTCCTTAATGTACCACTCCATTTCCAGAGGCAGGAGAATTAACCCCTTGCACATCTCGCAGTTGTATGGCAACATTTTCTGCACCTCTTGTACTACTTTTTGACCCTTCACTGTCTGTTTGCTTTTGAATTTTCACCTTGATTACTCCAGAAAATAAAAACCTAAAGATAACCTAACAGGAATGTGGGCAGTAACAAACACAGCATGATTAACAGCACGACTGCACGCATGTTTAGCAGGACTGTGCTCTCAAGCGTCTGCTTAACTCAGGCAGGAAAGAAAATCTCCAGCAGGGCTGGGAGAAACATCATCTGCCTCTACGCTGGAGTAGGGTCTCCTTTGGCCCTTTTGTGACCTTCCTGCTGCAGCTGCTGGAACGGTGCAGTAGAAGAAACAGTTTTTGGGGCTGCCACAGCAGAGGCAAAATTGGGGGCAGTTAGGAAAACAAGACAAGCCATGCTGGACCGGACGCAAGGCCCATCTGCTCCAGCTTTCCATACACACCGTGGCAAGGCAGCTGCCCACAGGCTCCCTCCAGCAGGATGGGTGCAAGGCCTCCTCCTGGCCAGGCTCCTCAGCAGCTGGCATGTGCAGGCAGGCCGCCTCTGGGGAAGGAGGGAGCCCATGGCCAGCAAGGCTAGTAGCCATCTATAGCCTCCTCCATCATCCATCTGTCCAATCCCCTTTTAAAGCCATCTAGTTTGCTGGCCATCACCACCTCCATTGCAGCAAATTCCACAGCTATGTGAAGACGGTGTTCCCCAGTTTTTCAGAGGAGGTGGCAATGCAGCCCACCGACCCCCGGAAAGTACTCACCCCGGCATAAAGAAAGCCACTGACGGATGAACAAGAAATAGCAAACTCTTTTCATGCAGAGTTGCCGTTCTGGTGAGATACCTGCCATCCTCAGGAAACTAAGTCAGGAAAATTCTACCTCTTTTGCTAGTTTGAGGCCGTGTTCATAAGTCAGGGGCTTCTCCTTCATGTAAAGCAACCGAGTCAGTGTTTTGGGATCATCGCGAAGATCAATCTAGAAAGAAACAAGCACATAGAACAAAAGGGGTCTCCTCCCTCCGCTGCTACTGCTTCCACTTTCAGAGGTACTGGGGAATGAAGGAGGAGAGGGGAAACGGGGCCATTTCATTCATGTTCCTGAAAGGCTTCATTTTTTCTCTTCCCTCCCCATTTTTTTCCTCGCATGTCATGCCTCTTTAGACTGCGAAAACGTGAGGAGAAACTGTTTCATTTTACTGATTCTATGTAAGTCCAGTTGGGAGCGTGCTTGGCTGAGGAGCAGGACAAATTTTACAGCAATAAATAAATTGTCCACATTTGTGGCAACCCTTCCTTCATCTTCCCCCATCCTCCCTCTGTCTGTCTGTCTCATCTATAGGGTCTGAAAAACAAAGAAGGCCCTGGAGTATTTGAGGCTAAAACCCAATGTGAAATCATTATTTCTGCTTGAGTTCTGTGGAAATCTGGATGCTGGTACCCAACTTTGGTATCACAGAAAGACAGAAATGAAAGAAAGCTAATGTGAGGGCAAACCCAGACAAACTGGCTGCAGCATCAATTCAGGGTGACCTGGTTAACTTCTTGCTTACCTTTCGGATTCCCTTTCAGGTGAGGGGAGATGCAACCTGTCTCAGGTGGGGGGAGATCTTGCACCAGCCTTGAAACCAAGTACGTGTCTTGGAGGCCACATGGAGCCCATAGGCTGCGCATTTCTGACTTACAGGGCTGGCTTATAGGCCAGGTTATCTAAAGGAACACCTCTTCTTATATACTCCTCCCCAGACCCTGAAATCTTTGCCTGTGGTCCTTCTCAAAGAGGCACCTTTAAAGGAGAAAAATAGGCTGACTGCGAGGGTTGGGCCTTTACAGAGGTAGCACCTTGACGTTGCCATCAGCTCCCCAAGGAGATGCGCCTGACACTCACCCTCTCTTCTTTTCAGTGCTTGGCAAAAAACCTTTTTCTTTACCCAATGTTTTATTTGTTAACTATTTTAATCTTTTAAAGTATATGTTGTATTACTGCTGTAACCCTGAACCAGTATGAGTGCCAATTGTGAGTTTATTCTTGTGCTGATTGCTGCTATTTTATTCTTGTGTATGAGTTATGTTAGATTTTAATTGTTAGTGTTTTGTTTCTGGATATTATATGTTATTTATTTTGATTTTGCCCAGAAAGTCTAATTGGGGGTATAGAAATAACTAAAATAAAATAAAATTTAAAAATTCACATTTAGTCATACTGAAAGTAGAATATAGTGTAGTAGCTGGAATGTTAGATTGGAACTCAGGAGATCTGGAGTTTGGTTCCCATTCAGCATGAAGTGCTCTGGGGGGCTTTGGGCCTGTCCTACTTCCCAGCCTAATCTACCTAGCAGGGTTGTTGTGAGGATATAATGGAGAGCAGCAATTGGTTTATGTAGGCCAGCTTGGGTTCCTTGCAAAAGAAAAAAAAACAGGAAGTAATTGTAATAATAAAGGGACCATAAAAAGAAGAGAAGCCATGAAAATCAACAGCATTTATGAGCACAGTTGGACCAGGATCCCCTTAATGTTCTGAATGTCCCAGAAAGCCCTTCTTCAAGGTTGCTCGTAGGACTGTGGGGACACCTTGCAGGGCTTTGGACGTCAGTGAGGTTCTTTCTGCCTTAGCCGTGTATGGCGGCAGGGGGGATCTGGGCTATCAGACCTCGCTACTGGCTGCAGATTGCTCTGTGCAGTAGACCTCACGACTCACTGAAGCATCACCGATGGCAGCCGTTCTCCTCAGAGTCTGGCTCAGTGAGGACCCTGCCCGTAAGGGCCTGGGGGAGGGTCTGGCTGAGGCAGGAGGAGCCACTCCGGGTCCAGCAACCTTCTGCTACGGGTTTCACTAGTTCTAGCGCAGCTATCGAATGCGTCTGAAAGGCCTTGCCAGACACGGTGCTGAAAGAGACAAGGATGGCACTGAGGAACCTCCCTGGGGTGAGTTCTGGAGGCTGGGTGCCGTGGGCCACTGCCAAATTGCAATACAGTGCCCACACGGTGGCTGCGACGCTCAGAGAGCAACTGGAAAGGGCAGGGCTTGCCCAGGGCCCGTCTTTCGGAGGCTCCTCCGCCATCCCGGTGCAGCTTTCCCCTGCCCTTCATCCTTCGCTTACCTGAGTGCCGATCAGGACGTACGGCACGTGAGGCATGCACACTTTCAGCTCGGGCACCCATTCCTCCTGGACGTTGTGGTACGAGGCCGGGTTGACCACAGAGAAACAGATCAAGAAGACGTCCGTGTTGGGGTAGGAGAGCGGCCGCAGCTGATTGTAGTCCTCCTGGCGGAGAGCAGAAGGAGATCAATGACGGCATGGAAGCGGCAAGGGAATGGCTGGTGGCCTTCCAGACTTGCCACCTCCGGGTTGCTCCGCTGTGCTTGGCTCCTGCAGCGCAGGCCTTCCGAAGAGACGCTGCGCACCTTCCCACCAAGCCTCCCCCTGCATCGTGGACAGACAGCAACTCCCCGAAGGAGTTCCGCCCAAGATGTGAAGGGGCGACTTGCGCGTGCGCTGGTCCTGCTGCAGCATCGCCTCCCACGTTGGCCCTCCTACCAGTGCAAAGAACTGAGGGGAGATTTTGAGCATGGGGGTGTCAGGAACGGGGCCAGCCCAGTTCGCTGCCTCCCACACGTCGTGCTGCATCGTGCCGTCGGCGAGCTCACTGAGCAGGGCCGCAGTCCTCGGACAGATGCAGTGCGGTGCTCAGTGCAGAACTTCTCTCAAAAATGGCAGCCTCGTGTCCTGCAACATCAAAGAGCATCCTTCCGTGTCCCTAGCCCAAGCCCACCCTGTTGGGGGGTTGCCTCTGCTGTGCAGACAGGAAAAGGTGTCCCACATCACAGGGACAGTCCTCCATTTGAAGGGGTCCTCTGTTGGATGACCTGTGCAGGCCCAGCTGGTTGAAACATAAAGTCCCATAAAAAGGGAGAAGGAGGACCTTAAAACTGCAGGTAACAGTACCCAGAACTCACCTGGCCAACATTTCTGCCTGCTACGGGGAGACATAGAATGCTTTTTAGTTATAGTTATTAATTTAAAATTTGCTCCTGAACTGATTAACGAGCATATGCAACTGTGCAAAGGAGTGGTGCTTTTTATCCTCTTTTGTTTGTTTTCCTGATACATCGTTTAGTTCCGTGTCAGTGGCCAACCTAAGAATTTAGTATTGTCAAAAATACAAGCAAGTAGAATCAATGTGACGGAGAGAGAGACACACTGGGTATTTGGCTGCTATCGTCAGTGCTTTTTTTGTCATAGAATGCACCGCAACGGAGTTCCGGCACCTTTTTTCAACAGATTTTCCAAGTTTTAAAAGTAACTTTTGAAAATGTGATGTTTGGTCCATGCGGATTTGGATCACCCTGTTGAGTGTAGTAGGTCAGCAGCAAAATCATTAAAACGGTGCATGCGCGCTGCTTGTGTGTCGAGTCTGATGCATGCGCACTTCGTCCGCACTGCTTGCGATGGCGCTGCTCGGCTTGTGATTGGTCGTGTGGTCGCGCGCAGAGCTTACTGTGGGTGGCGACCATTATGTTTTGTTACACAACTGTTGTGTGTGCGTGTGTACAGTGATTGACTATGTGCGAAAGGTAAATAATTTCATGAGTTCCGGCACCTTTTTTCTTACAAAAAAAGCACTGGGTATTGTTAATGGCAACGGGTCACTCTCCTGAAGTCCATCTAGATGTTGGTTACTTGATGCTCAGAGGCCTGTGGGGTGGAAAAGTCCAATGTGTGCTCCTTGTGGGGTGAATTAGAGCAGCTTGCAGCTGGGTGTAGCTACCATCTTTGCCAAACAGATCTCTTAGCAAAACCACAAGATGGTACTAGAGGCATGTAGACAATCCAAGCCAGGCCCTTTTGGCTGGCTAGCCGTGTCTGCTTCAAATATTCAAGGCTTTGCCATTTTAAACAGTGAAATGCTGGACATCGGAATGTTTGAAACAAGTTGGAAAAATGGGGTGTGAGATGAACATGCACAAATCGTTTTAGGGCTCAACCTGATGCATGTTTGGATGGGGAAAAGTCCTGGAACTTTTGGGAGTTGGGACTTTTCCTCATCTAAGCATGTATAAGATTTTACCCTGAATGACAAAAGACTGGCTAATGCATAGAATTTCATGCCCAGGAGACTCTGCAACTGTGCACAGGAGTTCAGTGCAGGGGTGTGTGTGTGTGTGTGTGTGTGGGCATGTGCGTTCACCCTTAATACAATCATTCACCCAATTGCTAAGGGAAGATTCTACGAATTCTTTCTACATGGTGATCTGTGCAAAATGCTATGGAAGTGAAAAGCTCATAATTTTCACTCCCACAAGCTGATATAATGCCTGCATTTTTCATCTCAGCAAAACTACGGCACAGAAAATGGAAGAAAAGACGGGATGCAGATTACCTGCCCTGCCGTGTCATACAGCCCAAGCAGATGCTGCCTGCCTCCGACTGTCACCGTCACTGTCAAAGAAAGGCAGAAGTTACAGATTTTGAGATGAGAGAAGGGAAGAAACAAATAAGGAGATTAGAAGAGCCACTCGGAACCAGGCTTGGGAGTCTGAATTGTTCAGCATCCCTTTTGCTCCAAACTCTTCTGTGTAGAGTTGTATGGATCTATTTATTTAATTTTTATTCTGCCCTATAGCCGAGGCTCTCTGGGTGATTAAGAAAAGTTAAAAACACATCAGAAAGAAAGAGGGGGAAAATAGCATAAGACAATAAAATCACAGCAATTGCAGACGGATTAGCACAGAAGTATAGCAGCGGAACTGGATAAAATGCAATATTAAAACTAAAGTTCGAAAGTTAACTACTAAAATACTGGAAGAATAAAAATGCTTTCACCTGGTGCTGAAAAGAACACAGTATAGGCACCAAGTATGCCTTTGTGGGGAGCTAATTCCTTAGCTCTGGTGCCACAGCTGAAAAGGCCCTTCTCCTGGCAGCCACCCTCCGTAGTTCCTTTGGACAGGACTCCCGGAGAAGGACCCCTAAAGATGACCTTACCAAAGAAGGTGGTTAGCCATAACTGGCCCCAAGCTGTTTAGGGGTTTGAATGTTAAAACCAGCCCTTTGAATCAAGGGCCAGGCTTCAACCAGCAGCCAGTGCAGCCGGCTAGAAGAGGACTGGGGCAATGAGTTGTCGTGAGCCGGTCCCCACAAGCAATCTCACTACCCTGTTTTGGATCAATTGAAGTTTCTGGACCATTTTCACAGAAACAGCAGCTCTGTTTTCACAGGCGCATTGCAGTCATCCAAATGAGAGGTTGCCAGAGCCTGGATTACTGGAGCTAGGCTAGGGGAGAAGGAAAATTATGTGAGCTGCCTTGGGTTCCTTGAAAAGAAAAAACGGTGGGGTATAATATAATAAATAAGTAACTAAACCAGATTTCAATTTTTAAACCAGAGTTTAGTTCTACTTGAGCTCTTGTGCATTAGTGAAAATATATATTAGTGCTCATGTGCACCATGCCTTCCTTTAATGCAAATTACCACTAACATGCGTTAACTGATGTGCCGCAGTGCCAATGCACACTTGTGCTAAAGCGCTAGTGCACATTAGTGCAAGTCCACATTTGCTCAAATTTTCCCCCTCCAAAAGTGTAAAACTAGAGGAATCAGTGTGAAGGAACCAGCTTCAGGAAAAACTGGTCTGCAGTAGAATCTATAGCTCTCATTTTATTTTCTGATTTATATCCTGCCTTTTTCCTACAAGGGGCTCAAGGCAGCTTACATCATTCTCCTCCTCCAACTTATCCCCACAACAACAACCCTGTGAGGTAGGTTGGGCTGAGAGTCTGTGACTGGCCCAAAGCCACCCAGCTGGCTTCATGGCTGAGCGGGGACTAGAACCCAGATCGCCTGAGTCCCAGTCCCATGCTCTTAACCACTACACCACACTGGCATTCTCCACACTTATCCCCACAACAACAACCCTGTGAGGTAGGCTGGGCTGAGAGTCTGTGACTGGCCCAAAGCCACCCAGCTGGCTTCTTGGCTGAGCGGGGACTAGAACCCCAATCGTCTGAGTCCCAGTCCCATGCTCTTAACCACTACACCACACTGGCATTCTCCACACTTATCCCCACAACAACAACCCTGTGAGGTAGGCTGGGCTGAGAGTCTGTGACTGGCCCAAAGTCACCCAGCTGGCTTCATGGCTGAGCGCGGACTAGAACCCCAATCGCCTGAGTCCCAGTCCCATGCTCTTAACCACTACACCACACTGGCATTCTCCACACTTATCCCCACAACAACAACCCTGTGAGGTAGGCTGGGCTGAGAGTCTGTGACTGGCCCAAAGTCACCCAGCTGGCTTCTTGGCTGAGCGGGGACTAGAACCCCGATCGCCTGAGTCCCAGTCCCATGTTCTTAACCACTACACCACACCGGCTCTCCATAGAAATCCATTCATTTCGGTCCATTTTTCTGTTTTCCCTGAACCTGAGAAACTGACACACTGGGCAGGAATACCCTGGGTCGGGTTGTTCACTGGTCTCTCAGCATAGTTGCTTCCCAGGCTTGCACAAAATGCTGCAACGTATAGTGCTGCTATCAGGGTTCTCCATCTCATTCCCGTTCCTCAGTTTCCCATTCCCACCCCTGGCCTACGCTCAGCCCACATTCCTTGGCCACTGAGTATTCTCAGGGCTGAATCCAAATGGGGCATTTTCAGGGCAGAAGCAGTCGCATCAGCAAAACCAGGAGGAGGTTGACTCCCTCTCCTCCTGTGATCCCTGGGAGATAAGAAAGGCAAAGTAGATAAGCAGTAGAGACAAGCACAACTCTGGACCTGGGTTCAGGTTTCACTGGACCTGGTTTACACCAGCACACAATCCCTGAGCGACAATTTGCCTTGATGTCCTGCTGGTCACAGTGTTCATGTTGCTGGGTGAACTCTCCCCTCAAAATCAAGCTTTCTGTTCACATGGCTCCTCTTCTGTTAGCCCATCCCCAGGGCAGAAGTGAATTTCACCAAGCGGGTAGCAAAAGATCAACAGAGCTCACAGGGGTCCGGAAGAGAGCGCGTATCTAGAAGACCCCAGAGTCGGTTAGCGACACTTCCCCACCGAGTGTGTTTGGGTTATGTCTGACTGAACACAAATAGCATTCATTCTCCTTCCTGGTCTTTGATTCTGCATGGTTGCTTCTAACCTTTTGGCCTTTGTTTCAGAATATCTAGACATCTCAGTCATGGTAAGAATCTTGGCGTAGGCGCGGTCAGTTAGAGCAAAGCTAGAATACCTGCTCTGCCTTTTTTGCAGTTAATGCATAACACCATTAACAGCTGTTACTGCACCTTATTCACCTACAGATATGCATTTCACAGGCATCTTTTGTAGTCCTTTATTTTAATTTGCTGCTTCCCCCCATGAAGTGGTCTCTGACTGTGAATGGACACTCTCCAAAATATCCTGTCCTTGACAGCATTGTAAGAATGTTGTATTCTTTCATTTATATGGCTTTGTTTTGATGGAATTCACATTAAAGTTATTGTTGTTGTTGTTATTATTATTATTGATGATGATGATGATGGTGTTGTCTTATTAAAGGACACATATCACATGTCCTTGGTGAAGGCCTTTGAGGGAAATAATGCATTTTACAATATAAAATGGGAACCGTAGTGTGTGTGTGCGCTAACCTTCATTAAAGCATCTCCATCTGGGTTTAGGTTAGGAAAACCAAAGAAAAATGCATAAATTGGAAGGTAAGGTATAAGCCAGCCTGATTTGGAAGACTGCACAACTAGATCACTGCTCACAAGGCATGCCTGTGCCTCCTACCTTCTGGGCAACATGAGATAGCCTTAACCCTGGCTTTTGAAACTGGCTGGATGTTTGGTCCATGCACCGAAAGCTCCCCGCTTGGAAGGTTTGTGGGTTTGTTTGGGTTCTGCCCTTCCACTCAGGAGATCCGAGAAGTGTAAATGGCGCTCTAGGCAGCCTCCCATTCAGGTAACCGGCCAAGATCAACCCTGCTCAGCTCTGCAGATGGTTTCCATTAAATGAGTCACCGTCTGACTGAACCGCTTCTTCTCCAAAGCTGCTGAAAAGTGTCTGTTGCAGGAGGGGAAGAGGGTGGGCTGGGGAAGAGCAAGAAGGGCCAGGAGACACGTATTGTACCCCTGGGAGCCGACAGAAGAGATCCTGAAATAGGACCCCTGAAATCCGGAACTGAGCACCCCACCCCTTGGCTGATACAAAAATGGATAAGGAATTTAAGGCACTGACTACTTCAAGATGGGATGAAGGCCACAAATGCAGATGTTTGCCTGGGTTTTTTTAGAGAAACGCATATGCTGCTTTTTGATGGTTTGGACGCAGCCCACTGTGGGCGAAGTTTCATCCTCTGGTTACTCTGCTGCAGGAAGATGGGGAGGCAAGGTCACCTTTTCCTTGGACCCCCAGCTCCTTGCAACTCTCCCCCCACACAAGCTGCTCCTGAATGCTGAAAGCCCCTCCAGAACAGTGTTGGAAGCAGCCTTGATTTATTTATCCCTTCCCTATACCACCCCACTGGGCCATTTACACAGTCCATGAAAACAGGTGATAAAAATACAATAAAAATATCATAAAAACAGGGAAAAGGTTCAAAACAGCTAAGAACAGATGATAAAAACAGACAATATGAAAGAATAATAAAAAGTGACCTGGCAAAACACCTGGAGAGCCCCTACAGGTCCCTGGGTTGCCAAGTGAGCCCCTAGAAACCTCAGAGGAGGGGGTAGCCAAAGATGACAGATTCAACACCAGCCAGGTCCAAGTGGGGAGGTTATTACATAGATGGGGGGCCATGACAAGAAACGGGGGGCTGCCAAGCATCTTTCCCTCCCTTTCTGTGATCTCAGGGGCCTCCAGCACAGAGCATATGGGCTTCACTGGCCTTCTGGGGAAGGCTGTGGGGGAAAACATTTTGTGGGGTGGGAATCCCGGAATCAAACCTCACGTGAAGGTTGCACCTGCAGCTTCCCTGTTCTGCAGCACCTGCAGCTGTACGTGACATGGAGAAGGGCCGCTGGCCCCACAGCCTTCATTTTGCAAGTGTTTGCAGGCCCCCTCTTGGTCCAACTGGCTTTCTAAGACCAGGCTGAGCACAAGAGGAATGCCACAAATGCATTTCTATATATATGTATTTTCTATACCGCTCAACAGCTGGAGCTGTCCTGGTGGTTGACAACATGAACCACCAAGGCAATAGACATAAGGCTTCTTGGGGAGAGCTTACCAAAACTAGGGTGCCATCACCAAGAAGAACCTGTTTCCCCTCATTACCTCACCTCACAGGGTGTGTGAGTGTGGAGAACAGCCTCCAAAGATGATCTCACTATATAGGCATCCTTATTTCCTTTATAACTAGAGTTTTGCTCTCAAAAGGATGGGAGGGAAGGGAAAGGAAGGAAGGAAGGAACTTCTGCTGCAGGAGAGTAGTTATCCAGTTTATTAGAGTAAATAATTGAA